TTCCCTACAGCTTACCTTGGTCCCCAGAATCCATTTGTTCTGATACTGCTCTTTGAATCTGTCGTGCTTCATGGCCCCTTGGACAATGTCAGCTGCTAACTCTATGCTTACTGTTTGCAACCAAAAGAAATAGTTTTTTTATGGAGCACTTGAAGTCTCTTTTATTTTAAACATTCCCCAACAATATAGAAAATCTAAACCTAATGTCATTTGGGGAATTCTATTTGTAAATGAAGTCACCAGTCTAGTTTCACTGCCCCAAGTTGAATTGGAGGCAAAAAAATATATACTGTGAATGGGTGAAAACAAAAAATAGATGTTTCCAATTCTTTCAGATCTAATTATATGAGGGGCTGTTTGTAAGACAGGTATGGAATTGTTTTATATGTATGATTTGTACCTTGGCTGTCTGCCATGTTATGACATCCGTAAAGCCACAAATAATTTGATGGTCTATATTGTTATGTTGGCTATCCTGGAGGTTCAAGACTGCTTTTCTACAATATTTCACGCAGCTTTTCTCGAGTCTGCTGGCTGTTTATTTGAATCTGGAGGGAATCGGGAGAGTAAGCCATTCTGAGCCACTACTGAGAAACCCTCTTTGGAACAGTTTTCATTTTTTGTAAGCAAAATGGCTGTTTTGTGAAAACCAAAAAAAAAGTTATCTCTGGAAATAGTCAATGGCTTTAGTTCATTAAAGTAATGATAGTAGCTTGTGATATAAGGCCTTGTAAACTGAATATCTCCAAGATGCTTTAGAAACCATTAGTTGTTGAAAGGGGGTCTCAAGGGTACTTTAGTATTTCTCTTGATTTAATGTCCTAACCTCATAAAAGCTTGGAGAATTATGGGTCTCCAGTGGTCCCTGTTTGTTTCTTGTAGAGTATAAGCCACCATAACATTGATAACAAACAATGATTATACACATACAGAAGCTGCTGTTTTTAGCAGGGATGAACTTGGGATTTGCCATGCAAAAAGCATTAGTCCCTGCTACTTGAGCAAAAGGAGAAACTCGTTTGCTGTCGGCAAGTGTTAGGCTGTTGTAATTTCTGGGAGCAGCCGTGAGAGTAAGACTACCACCTGCACCAAGCCAGGGCATTACTTGAGGTGACTCTAGGTCATTATCTTCCCTGCTTATGAAATCATTATTAAGAAGTAATTCAGTGATGGAAGTAACGGTGGCCAGTTAACTTGTGCCCACCCTGCTGGTTAGATGGCACAGCAAAATATTGTACCATCCTTCTTGTGTATTTTATTTTTAATTTCCAGATGACAGAAACAGACTAAAGGGCAAAAAATAAACTGGCCCCAAGGCAGGGTAAGGTTGAGTGCCTACACTAGCTTGACAGTGCCGCTTTAAATGAGCACAAAAATAGTGCTTTGTGGACTAATCCCAAACGGTTTCTGCTGAGTGAGTGAGTCCCAGGCAAAGCTTTAGCACATCCCTTAAGATTATGGGGTGTGCTTTCAGTTTGATCCATGAGGAATTAGGCAGGCAACTTCAGCTAGGGCTTAATGTGACTTGCACTGCCAGCCCTGCTGGAAAATGTATTCCTCTGCAAGGGAAAAATGCGTCTCCCTTCCCCCACAACTCTGCAGCCTCTCTCCTGCCCTCCAGTGTTTCCAAGAATATTTATTACATTCTCTATTTTCTCTGTCTTAATCAAATCCCATTTTGCACCCTTTACTTCAGACACTGGAACTTTGCTCAGTGGTTAGATGCTACAGCTATGGGTGCTATAGAAAACTGTTACCTTGATGACACAGAGGGAAACTCCTTTATATTGCATCAGCTTAGTCTGAGAATTATTTTATAAATACCTCTTTCAGAGGAAATTCAGAAGGGATGAGTTGATCCCTTGCAATTATTTAAGAACCTGCGGCAGTGTTTATCTGTGTTAACGTTGGTGCTGTTCCCACATTTTAAACGGGGGAATTTAATACAGCCAACCTGAAATTCACCTTGAGTTACAGTGGGAACGATGGTCTCTGGGACTTGCCATAAACTCTGCTGTGTGATATTGCTGGCTGCTCTGTTCCAGACCAAAGTTGGCAGCATTTCACTGATGGTTTAGTGATTGTTGTCTGGATGGTTTGTAAGACTATTTCTGCGTGGAAGGCACTATATGAATGCAAGGTATTGTATGCTGTTATGCAATATTATCTATTTAATATTTTATCAGTTTTCCTTGTTTTTCCAACCTGTTCTCTCCCGTTACTCGAGGCCGCCTCTCTGAGCCAATTGCTTGTTATGGAATTTGATCCGTCTGACACCATGCGGGTTAGCAATACTCACTGAGCCAGTGCAGCCCTCTGTCTGACTGAACAGCTGCCTAATGCTTTATAATTCTGTACAGAAACCCCTGTTGAAAAGTACACTATCCCTTTGCTTTAGTCACCTCACAGAGTGTGATATTTTATAGGACAGCGGACTGGTGGTATCTGCTAAGAACCATTTGGGGGTTTCCCCCTCCCTTTTTAATTCCAAAAGGAAAACTTAAAATGTGCCCGAGAACTTTGATTACAATGTGCTATTACTGCAGATCTCTGGCTGCTGTCCTGAGGCTGTTGGATACACATTCAAAAAAAGGGTGAAATGGTGGAACAAAATGATTATGGGAAAATCAAAGCTTTTAAAGACATTTGTAGGATGAACAGATGTTCAAACATTCTTTTATTTGGTTTCCAGACAGACACAGAGACTTTCCTTTCATCCTGGTAATCAGTGCATTATGCTGTAATTTGTAAAAATGACATTAAAAAAAATATTAACAGGGTCATATTGTGATCTACTGACTCTGTCTCATTAAGCCATGAAGCTAAAGACTAGCAACTGGGAAAAGGGGTTAAATATTGGAGACTGTGTTGTAGTCACACACATCATCGATGCATTAACATGAATGCAAACATCAGAATTGTTTAGAAATGACTAAGGTTTCAAAAGCATCTGTCAAAAGCTAGAAAATGTGATGTTTGTGCTGATGATATTTAATGCTTAATTCACCCAGGTTGAGCTGTGGGAGATAAGGGGCTGCATAAAACTCTGTTCAGGTGAGAACTGCTCAATGTTTTATAAATGTGTTTATTTTACCTCTTCTTTTTCTTGGATTTTATTTTCATGTTCTGTTGTATCCTGCTTCAGTCTGTGGTCCTGCTGCAGCTCCTCAGCTGACAAGGTGAAAGAACTGCAGGACCTGGTTGCAATGATTAAGTAGATGGCATCTTTCACTGTTCCTGCCTTGGGGTAGGGTGCACAGTGATGCCGAAGGTCCTGATTTCTGTGCAAGGTAAAACCCAAGTCCTGCCAAACTGTTGGCATGAAAAATCCCTCGGTGTCCCTCAGTCGCATAAAGGTACTAACTGGCCAAATGCCAACGTGGAGAATCATGTTCTGCCTACCTAAATTCCTGGTAAAGTCTTGCTTGGCTACAGTTTTCTTCTCTAACTGCTGCATCTGTCTGATCTAGGTAAATGACTGCAAAAAAGAATGAGCCACCCACACGGTTGCGGTTCTTGGAGCCTTTATTTGTTTACTAGCACTAAGCGTGTTACATGCACATTAGTATTATGTCACTGAGCAGCCAGAGGGTGGTAAAATAATAATGAAAGCCTAGCACTGTTGGAGTATGTGATGGCTCTGTCTTGTCCTACAGCAGCTGTGTCCTACCGGAGGGTTGGCTTTATGTTACTGACTTCACCGTGTTTACGTTTTGCGATGCATTCTGGGATCTTACAGTGCAAAGGATGAAGATAATAGAGAAACTGGTCATTATTAGCAGTATTTTAAGGTTTTTGTTTTTCCCTTTTTTTGGTTTAATATCAGCAGTGAACCAAATAACTTTTATTTATGCACAATTTAACTGAATTTATGATTTCATGTCATTTAACTGTGCATGTAATTAGATTCAACATTTTGCAATAAATTCTGAGCTGTTGAATGTAGGAGAGGAAAATCTCCATGCTGTGTGGAGCTACTTAGGTGCCTGACATCCTTAAAGAATAGACAAGGATATTGCTGTGAAGGAGACTTGAGGACACGTCTCATTTCTGAGGGCCTCATAAAGCAAACCAAAATTCCTATCAGGTACATGCTCAGGTTTTTTGAATTCTGGGAGACGGCTCAAGGCCCAGACCAGGTTCTGTTGATGCCTTAGCATTTGTTGCTTATTGGACAACCCTAGCACTGAGGAACCTGTCTATACCTCTGCTCATACAGTACCTTGGCAGTGCAGCACTCAGAACCATCATTCACAGTTCCTACCACTCTAACGTGATCTGGTAAAGACTTACTGACCTACTCCAGGCCAAAAAGAATTGCATTAGCATGTGACAAAATGGTAACAAGAGCTGGATTCCCCACTGTTCTCTTACTGAAAGAAGCCCTCGATTTGGCCCAATTATGACCTCAGTGGAGGAGGTTTTGGAGCTCCCCAGAACACCAGTAGGAGCAGTTCAACTAATGGATCAAAGACTCCTTTTCTTCTGCCTCTGACAAAGCAGGGAGGTATTACGTGTCTGCTCACTGTGCTTCTGTCCATATAAGCCAGGTTAGTCTGACTGGGAGTCTAAGGGACATTCATGTACATGAAGACATGGGCAGCCCAAGACAAATGTCCTTCCTAGTTAGTTCTTTCTTGGTTTGCAGCCCCATATCAATATACCATGCAGCCATGATCAATCCTGAGTTACATGTGCCATACAACCCAAGCGGAAATCTTCCTGCCCTATCTTCATATTCAGGTTTTTTCTTGCAGAAATATCAAGAGGGTCAGCTGGTGGAACATACTTTATAACAGTAGAAGTAAGATTTTGAGAAGGAGTGTCTGTAAGAAACAGAGGATCATTTTGTCCCAAGGACAGTGTCCTCCTCTTCACCCTAAGAAGAACTGTCATCTCACTGCTGCTTCAGCCCAACCAGATGATTATCATGGCAGGTGA